AAACAGTTCAATTTTTTTACACTGACAGATTACAACGATTAGGGAAAAGGCAGTATCGGGAATAGGTCCTCTGTTCTGGATTCAATTCACAAAAAAATAAATCTGCTGTTTTTTTTACATTATTCACCGAGTGGATGATGACGTTAATGATGATAATTACGATGAGCATAAATTCACAGTATGTGAAGGTGTGCTGTAATTTGACACCTTACACAAATAATGTGGAAAGAATAAGAAGCACAAAGAAACTTCTGAAAAAGAAAAAAAACAAGGAACAGCTGAAGCAGAAAAAGGAGTGATGAAGAACACTGACAGAAAGACATATGGCATGCAACAAACATCTGGAAGAGCACGAAGAATGTTTATTACCATTTTAGTAATTTTCTTCCTCTAAACAAATGAAAACTGTAAAGCAGAGATATATGAACTCTTTATACCAGTGTTTCTTGACCTTTTTGGATTCAAAGTACTCTTCAGAAAAAATTTTTGCTTGCCACCTCTAGCGGACCCATCCCACTCCTAATTCCCCTCACTCTGCGAGCGATTGTACTTCCATAGCTTATTAAGCCAGAAACTTGCAACTTTAGATCAACTTTAGAAACCAACCGTAAACCTACGAATCTTCAGCGGGTATTCAAACCCTTGATAGTGTCCTCCTCTGAGCATTTCAAAAGCTTCCATCTATCACTCTCTACCAAACCCCATCTCTTCTAACCTTCATTTGTAACACTTTGCAATTGTAGCATTGAAATTGTTGCTAACTAACAACTTTTTGTCACTTGTATTCTGCTCCTGTAAGAGTTACTCATTACCTTAATACCTTCACCAGTAACCGCTGAACAAGCTTGAATCTGCCATGAACGTCCACGTATCGACGTCAACTGTAATCCATCGGCAATATCGCTAGCCTTGGCTGCGGTCAAGAGATCCTATGAATTGCAGTGAATGTTCAATGATCACATTGTTATTGGCGGTAAAAGCAGCTCTGTGAAAAGCTGAGGAGTCATTTGGCACATTTTATTGCCGTATATTTCAAACCATTAATTATGGTTATACGTTTGGCAGACGTTTTAGAATGTTTTTAAAACAATACTGCCAGTACTTTAGCAGTGCATTTAATGACGAAATAAAATTAAAAAATAAATTATGTGAAGAAGAAGGGATGAGAACAAACTTGTTTGTTAGCAAATATCAATACTGGAACTCCGCGTAATTTGTCTTCGTCCAATAATTCAAGAAGTTCCTAAGAAAATACTGTGAGCAACAGTGATTGTATGTTAATAAGTAAATTACATAATCAAAAATTAAACGTTATCCAGCACTCTACAGTGAGTTTCTATTATAGAAAAAAGACAGAAAGTTCTGGAGAAAAAGAATCATAAAAAGAAGTTATAATTTGTGACCGTGAAGTTTTTTGCTTCTTTTTTGCCATTGTTAGTGTCTTTATTTTCTTTTATTCTTGTATGCTCTTCGTTTTCACCTTAGTACAAATAAAAATGAACTTTTTTTTTCTAATTAGATATGATTGATTTTAACTAACGATTACTGAGAAGATTAAAGGGTTAAAGGAATAAGCGAGGAGAAGAAGGTTGTGGATGGAGGTGGAAATAGAAATCACGGGAGGGGAACAACAAAGATGAACAGGACGAAGTCTGCCAATGGGTCGACCAGTGGCTGAACTACGCCCCATTTGTATAATATTACGTAAGACTTTTGAAAAAGGAACAAAAGGCAACTTAAAAGAAAGAATGCCACTAACCAATCCAGTTTCTTCAAAACGTTTTCGATCACTGCTGTCAATTACGTAAATCTGAAAAAAAAAATAAGAAATTAAAACTACATAGACTGAAATATCTACTTTATCAAAGTTATTGAAACTTAAATTCTTCCAACTTTTAGATGCACAGAGATGCTATTAGATGAAAAAAAAAACAGTTCAAGTGTTGCTTGCTTTAATAACAGTTATACGGTAAATGAAGTACACGTGTGAACATCAAATTTTATTTTTGAGAAAAAAGTGAAAACTGTTGAGAGATGGTGCCGAAAATAGCTTGCAGATTGAACAGGTTTAAACCAATCAAATAATTTTTTTCAAAAAGCTCCTCTAATCCCCTTATCCTTGCCTCCTCTCTTTAGTTCACAAATAAAAAATGTCATTCATTCAGATGAATCAAGTATCCGGAAATAACAATGATTTGTAAACTTCTTCCACCCACCTTTTTTAATACTATTTAGCAAAACTAATAATGCCCTAAAATTAGTAAGCTTCCTTCATCTTTGTATCTAGAAACAAGTGTGAAGTACCTAGGTGTGGCACAGATACCTAGAAAAATGTCAGCGTATTGCAAAAAAAAGTTTGTGAAGCTAGAAATCTGGTTAAATCGCAGATATTACCAGTTAGCAAATACCATTTTTAACTCCGTTCAGAGTTTATTTCTTGCCCTTACAACTTGCGTTTCATTTTACAGACAATTCAAAGTCAAAGTAACTACTGCGATGTCATATCTCTGGATAGGTTTCCGAAAAACTGTTGTAGAAAAAGTGGTAAAATCCTTTGAGCCCCTCTTTCTATAAACGTTTATTCAGATTAACAGTGTAGTTTCGATATATTTTTCATTCCGTTTAGCCAGGCAACTGTACGTTGCAAACTGAACAAACAAATTAACCAACCAATACGTCGGTATTGTCAAAGTAATTTTTCCAGTATGGTCGTATCTTACGTTGTCCACCAATATCCCATACATTTAGTTTTACGTCACCGGATACGACACTTTTTATGTTAAAACCCTAAAAGACAGTCTTGTAACATAAATACAAATTTCATTTGCTGATTTTTGCTCAACAAACACTGAAGAAAAATAGAAAGAAATAAAGAAGAAGAAAAAAGAAACAAGTTATGATAACCTGATATTTTCAAGTCATTCAAATATGGATTTCAAGTACCGGTCTCTCTCTCCTCCCCCCCTTCCCCTGTAAAAACTAATTGATTATGGCAGAAAGATTGAGGATGAGAAAAAAATAGAAAAAAGTGTTCAGTGTAAAACAAAATTTCTCATCTGATAGTACCA